CGCCTAGATGCAATACGCCAGAGCAAAGCGAGAAATGAAATCAGTCGTGCCGTTTACAGAAGGCTGGCTGGAAGAGGATATTCAACGCTGTTGAACAACACAGCGAATGGGACGAGACTGGTAGCTAACGCGGCCTTTGAGTTCAGAAAGGTGCGCATGAAGTTTTGGCAAGGCGAAGATAAGAAAGTCGAGCCGGATTTCTTATCTTCTCTCCGCTATCTACCTACACGGGGTTGGCAGGATTCTCAATATCCCGGTAACTTTCTACAACAGGTGACGTGACGCCGGTGGTGACACCCTGCTGCAGGGTGTCACCACCGGCGTCACGCACCCGGCGCCACGCTGTTGTGCCATTCGGGTGTATCAGGTGACATAGGACTCAACACACAGGAAGAGACGGACTAAATCGTCTAAAGCCATCTAAAGCCATGGAGGAAGTGTCTCGTCTCGAGCACAGCGGAGCGAAGCGCATCACACGCGCAGGGTCCCTGCACCCGTCTCGCCTGCGTTCCTTAGCTCTCTCATACGCATCTTCCAACCTCTCGAGGGTTGTTGCGTTCTGGCAATCAACTAATGTCTGTTGGATGTCGTAGTTCCGAAAGCCATCCGTGGCCAAAGGAATGGTGAAACATCGCTCGCCATAGAAACGCAATAGGAAATCGACCGCACGATCATCGTTTCAGTCGAGCAATTGCCGATTTTCCTCACGTCCCTTTTTTCATGATGCGCGTTATACTCTTTCCTGCCCTGTGCAGCAGCATCTTCGCCTTCGTATGGGGCCGCCTTCAAGGGAAAGTTCTCGGGAAAATGGCCGCTCATCATGATGAGCGGTGGAGAAAAGAAATCATGATGAGTGTCGAAGAGCTGAGAGGACAGCTTGTTCGTGATCTTAGAGAAAGAATGCGTGGGCACCGGTATGTAACGCTCCCGAATAACACGATCAACGGGAGGAGCCTAATGGCTGAGCTAACTCTCTTCGACTTACCCCATAAGGCACACTTGACGTTTTGGGGCTCGAAGGTCACGGGTGCTCGTCCGCGGCCGCACGCCGTTTTCGTATTTTCTCTTGAGATTAACCCAAGCTTATATCAAGTCGTGCTTTCGAATATTTCTCTGCCCTTCGGCGATTCAGTCGAAATTAAGACCACTCCCGACATCAAGAAGCGCCCGGAGATGATCAAGAGTTTCAACAAGAAGTTCGGTGATTTCTTCAAGGCCCTGGAAAGTGACTTTAAGAGGGTGTTCTTCACTCCCTCCAGAAAGGGCAAGGATAACGATTATATTGATTTGCCCATTGGTGATCAGCCGATTCGTTTGTTCTACGACTGCTAAGATGAGTGAGTGCAAGGTGTGATTGAAGACATACCCTCTGATTTTCTGTTGGTTGTATCGTCTCCGTTGTTACTTACTACCAGTGAGATTGATAACAGACTTATTGCTGTGCCCTTATTCAAGCTCTGAGTTTCGTTAGATCCTTGCCACTATCTAACACAACAGCCGGGCCACCTCTCGATACGGAACTGCTTCATAGGAACATGACGTACCAGTCTCTGCGCTATCCCCCTCTATACTCCGCAAGGAGATTCAGCAGGAGGACGATCTACTCCGCATCTGCACTTGCAAGGTTCCGCGAGGACTGTGTTTCGACCATCACCTTCATGGTATCTAAGCTCCTCATTCCCAGGCCGATTACTCTACTGACGAGTCAGTGAGATGGTACTTTCTTAAATGCGTGCAGTCGCTATCTATTCACGATCGATTCGACTATTCGGTGGCTACGTGACAACCGTCTTCACCAATCGCATAAAACTGATTCATCGGCATTATTCATGCAATAGAAGAGGTCGAACCGAGAGAGAAACGCCCAGACGTGTGATCCTGCTACCACTTTCCCATGTTCAAATGCGAACCAGACAGCGTGTCCGAGTGGTTAAGGAGATGGACTCGAAATCCACTAGGCTCTGCCTGCGCAGGTTCGAATCCTGCCGCTGTCGGATTGATGATTTGGTCGAGATGTGGTTTATTCGTCCTTAGTTGTAGGCTACAGTCAGAACTGTTCGAGAGAAATGATGGTATGAGCATTGTTATGTGGCCAAACCCGTGCAAGAATTCATCGTTAGCGCTATTGCATGATTGCTTCTCACACAAGTTCGGTCGTCAGTCCGTAAGGGGGAGATATGATAAGGAGTAGGCATGAACAGAACTTCGAGTGTCGCTGTGCCCGAGCTGAGTCGAGTGTCGCTGTGCCCGAGCTGAGTCGAGTGTCGCTGTGCCCGAGCTGAGTCGAGTGGGCCGACGACAGGGAGCCATTAACAACCGGGCATTTGGTTAACCAGCAGGGCTGAGCCCCGAGGGCTCAGTAAGCAACATTTTCCCAAGCCCTTATCGCTAGTTAAACTAGCCTAGTTCGCTTCAAAGTGAAGTATTGGATGGATGAGGGCGCATCATGAGCCTGCTGCGTCCCCAGCTGCACGCTACTCTCCTGAGCCATGATGGGGTAGCAGCACCAGTGTCCGTACCCAGTCTGCGCAACCCAGATGTCGTGGTGTTGCTTTTCAGGGATGTGTCAAACTCGACAAATATGACTTTAGTGGAATCTTGGGGTCTTATCTTTTCCCTCACAAAGATGCTCACCGCATACATCATCGACAAACCCCCTTCATACGGTGAAAATCCGGTACAATGAGGTCACAATAGGGTGGGGACATCAAGACAGCTAAATGGTTCTCTTCGAAGAGGACTAGGAGATGTGGAGATAATCTCCTCGAGAAATGTGGGATAGACTAGACATGGACAGCGGAAGTGGATGTGGGCGTTGACTGAGAAGCAGATGGCCATAGCCTCCGGTCATTGGCCTCTGGCCCAGAGAGAGCTGGTCGGCTATCCAAGGGCCATACGAACTGCCTCCAGCGCGTCCAATTCCCCGATGTCAGGGATATTAAATTGGTTGGGTATACCAGCCGTACGAGAGCGCGTGATGACATCGACTATCTCTGGACCACTTAGATCGAGTGTAGCCAGCAGAGCTGCTACACCGGCAGCGGTGGGGGCAGACGCCGACGTTCCGGAACCACTGTCGTATGTGCTTGGAGGGACTGTTGAATTCACATCAATGGCGGGGGCAGCCACTTTAGTGAACGACCCAGCGTCGGAGAAATCGGCCAGAGAGACCTTCGTAGTTGGAGATGAGGTGCTGCCAGTGATGCAGAGCATAGGCATGGTCTTGGCAAACTGACAAGGGTAGATTGTATAGCCTTCGTCCAAGTTGTCCCCGTAGTTGCCAGAAGCAACAACTGCGAGATGCCCGGTAGCAGTGGCCTTCTCCCATGCCTTCTCCGCGGCTTTAGTCGTATTCGGTGCCCCATACGAATGAGAGGATACTGTTGCATTCATTCTCACCGCGTAGTCGAGTGCTCTCAGCTCATCGCTGAGAAGGCACCAGCCAAACTCATCACAGATCCTCAAAATCATCAACTCCACGTTGAGCTCTAGGGGGTCGGCATTTGCCACTCCGGCGATTCCAATACGGTTGTTGGTCTGAGCTGCCGCTATCCCGGCACAGAATGTTCCGTGACCCAGACCGTCGGTAAGTTTATTAGTGTTGGTGATGAAGTCGTAACCGATAGATCCGTCAGCCGGGTTCTTCCAGAACTGATTAACAAGATCCGGGTGCTCCATTTCAACCCCGGAGTCGACAATTGCCAATACCACTTTTTTCAGCCTTCGCTTGGCTTCCCTAACCGCTCGCCAAGCAGCACCGATGCGAATGACCTCAAGGTTGCTCTGGCAGGCCGAGATGGGATCGTTGGTATACAGCTTGCGGTTGCCACCAGTACAGTCGCTTGGCCCATGGAGGGAAGCCTTTCCTCGGTTAAGAGCTGGCACTAGGGTGAACCCAGAGTCGGGCTCGCAAGTGAAGTCAATACCGAGCATATCCTTGGCCTTCTTCAAGTAGCTGAGTATTTGGTCGTAACTTGCCGAGCATTCAGATCTCACAATTTGGACCCCAATAGCCGTCAAGTCATAGATATCTATATAGGTGATCTAGATCATTCCTTCCTGTTCGAAGCATTTCTCACACTCGTGGTCGTCTGGGTTTAAATAGCGCAACCTTGCAGCATCAGAGACAGCGGCGGCCTGTGCCATCATCTTCGGTAAACGACGGATGTCCAGTGACGTCCCAGTGTGAGACACCGTAACCAGCGTACGACGGGAGGCAGCCTCGCCAAAGGCTAATAGCACCAGAGAGATCGACAACGAGTATGCCAGATGCATCAGCATGACTCTATATGGCAGCTCAACTGAGGAAACGAGACGATCGCGCTCCATGAATAGTTGTAACGATTCGACCGGGCCACTATTGACGATTGAAGCACTTAGTCTGCCCGGCCCTGGCATCCAAGTGACATAGATGGCAGAACAAAGCAGAAGCCAGAGCTTCTGCTTTGCATATGCGCGCAGTGTGGTATGCACTAACTCGGTACAGTGTGGCTATTCGAGATGAGGCTCAAAGTAAGCTAAAACCAGACTTTAGAGGGGGCCGGAGAGAACTGATCTCGTTCCGGGCTTCAAGCGTATGTTCAGTAGCGTGACAAGGAACGGCGTGTTCGCTGGAGCAAACTTGCGTGCAGCTAGCGAAGGCGCATAGAGGGTAGGGTTGGGACTTATAATACGCAGAAGCAATGAGGGTAGTTGACAACTACTAGTTGTCAGGCTGGTGAATATATGGCAGGATTGCCGTCCTCGCCAGCGGGGATTGGGGGATGAGGGATAGAAACTGGTGGTTCCGGTGGGGGGTGGCTAACTGTCTAGGGGTTATACCATTGTGGACTCGTTGAGGAGTGTCTAGGCGATTTATTATTGTCGACTTGTACGCCGCTGTATCCGGGAGCATATAAAGATTGCCAGTAAGAGCACCATGATAGATCAAGAAACAGCCCCTTTGAACCGATGTTGCAGCTAGAGACCGCGCAGAGAAACCGTGAAGCGAGCTCAGATCAGACAGCGTGTCCGAGTGGTGGAGGAGGTGGACTAGAAATTCATTTGTCTCCCCCCGCGCAGGTTCGCGTCCGGCCACTGTCGGCTTGAAAATTTGGTCGAAGTATGCTTTATTCCTCCCAGTCTCGACTGTCCCAGGGGCGAAAAACCATTGAGCGTGTGCGAGTATCCAAGGAGTGGGCAGTAAATCTCGTAGGCTCAAATTGCACGGGCTCAAACACTATTGCTCACGTGTAACGACTTTGGTCAAAATCTATTAATCGCCTCCCGGTACCACTGGCCCAAGCGGCTGTGAAATTGGTGAGCGTGCCCGCGTTATCATGAAAATGGATCCGAGGTCCACTCGGCTCAGCCGGCACAGGTTCGACGGGCTGTTCAATAAACCGTTCCTGAGTTTCAGGAACGTTCCCAGGAACGAGAATGCACAAATCTTGTTCAAAAAACGCACGTTAGGAACGTTCCTAGGAACATTCCCAGTCTCCCTGCTGGGGGGTTATTCTTCTGATGGAAATCATTTTTCGCCTGTTGGTGGCTATCGTCCTTGCCACGCGGCCAACCAGACATGGTATGCGACGACCCGCGGCCGACTGGTTGAGGTAGGATTGGTGATGCGTTCAATGGCTTAAGACTGATGTGCGGACTGTGACGGGTCAGCCGTCACGGTTGTCTTCCTTTAGACAGCGGTTGTCTATTTTGCGTGCGTTCACGTTATGAGACGGTCCGCGTGCGTGCGCACTAAACGCCCACTTAGTATTACTATTATTTGAGACGAGATTATGGAGATTTGAGAGACGTATCGATGATTCGTGTAGGTGGTTCGTGATCGGCCCATAGTAGGCAGTTTTCGATAACACTTGTTTTTGAGCAAGATTTCTTCTCTTGTTCGGCGCTACTCCTCTGGTCGAGGGACAGTACCTCATACACGAGTTATCCGAAGGGTATCAACTGCTTGAGCAGTGTGGTTGGGTTCATTAAAGTGGGTGCTTACAACAACAATCGGGGAATCTCTACTTCGCGACTCCTAAGAGTGGCCCAAGCCACTAGTGTTGTTAAAGCGCGACTGGAGGGAATTGAACCTGCCCGCAGCGTGACCACGCGACTCAGCTTAGCTGAAGTCGTGAACCCGGGTTGAGAGATGAATTGACTGGCTCAACAAAACAATTTATTTTTCATTGTACGTTTACTTATGCTCACATCCTGTTGGTTCGTCGGCAGCTCAAGCGCTAGGTTGAATAAACCCTCTCGACATCCTTGCCTTGTTCTACGGAGCCCCTATTCAGTAGCGCTACAACTTGTAGCCTACAAGCCTTGCAGCGCTACTTGCTCCGCTGACTCCAACGTTGCCGGAAGGGTCGGCCGCTCGGAAGGGTTTTGAATTTCGCCAATCCTACCGTGAGCTCGCCCCAAAATACATCGATCGAGCGGTTGCGGTTTTCCACCATCGTCCTCTCGCCTATGCACTCTATACTCTCCGTTGCTGCTGTGTACGGTGGTATCTTAGGCTCTGTATCGTGCAGAGTCGAGCCTCTTTTTGGAAGTAGCTATCTTAGCACATGGGGGCAAGCCGAGATGGACGAAATGCGCCAGAGAGAGGCGAAAAAGCAAATCAGTCGTATCGTCTATAAACGGGTGGTTGGAAAAGAATATTCAACACCCTTGAACAACAGAGTGAATGGGACGAGCCTGATTGCTAAAGCGGTCTTCGAACCCGCTGCCAGCAAGGTGGACTTGCAGTTTTGGCAGGGCGAACATAAGAAATTCGAGCCGGATTTCTCATTGTCACTCAATTACGCACCCACCCCGGGTTGGCAGGACTTGCAATATCCCGGGGATCTCCGCCACTTGAGGTCTGTACGGATCCACACTTGGATAACCCTTGAATCATCGCTCTTATCTTGGGGCTTCGTCAAACACGTGCTACGCCGAAAAGCGATGAAATCTTTCAACGAGAAGTTCGGAGATGTCATCAAGGCTGGGAAAGACGACTTCAAGGAGATGACGTTCATTCCCAATGGTGACCGTCATGTGACGGATCACATCGTGATGACCATTGGTGGGAAGCTATTTCGTATGTATCCAGAACGGTCGTTGAAGTGAAACATTGATGATGGTCAAAGTGTTTTTAAGAACATGTTCTCTGATGTGCTGTTAGTTGTATGAAGGCTGATATTTTTTGTGAAGTAGATGTTACAATGACGGGGAAAAAGTACGGCCGGTGACGGCTAAGTTTAATGACTGCTTAAGCTTTCAAGGTTCTCTCATGACCACGTCCACGAGAAGATTGTCCCCGTCGTCTGCCGTACGTCCTGGCTCCGGAGGCAAGTCACCCCAAGGGGCGGCGCCTCTGAGGCGCTGATAAACAGCCTTAAAATCTGGACCAGATGGTTGATGTTGTTAAATCTGGCCAGGACCACTGGTCTCTTTGCTGAGTGGCGATTCCCCGCTATTTATTGATAGGGGCCCCAGGTAGCCTTACGCAGCCCATTTCAAGCGGAAACCACCTGCCTCTGTTGGTACTCCGGGTGAAGGAGTCCTGTTTAACAACAATGAAACGGCTGATCGATATATATCATTGAATTTCTCTTGTCGAAACAGATGGGCAGTCGATTTTTATACCTGTAGGAGACTTTGTATTCGAGATCATTTTCTGCCTGTGATTAGCATAACCAATTAATTCACCCTACTGTGTACATACAGGCTAGGCTGCCTTCACTGTTCCCTCACGCGGATGCGCATCCTGCTGTTTGGGCCCAGCGTCACTACTCTCATGGTG